TCTTACCTTAGGGGAGTCACATTTCTCATGGAAAAATAAAGGGGAACTTCTTCCGTGACTATTCTTACTAAGGCAAGTAGCAAGAATTAAATTATAGGGAAGTTTCATTCCAATTTAGCAGTCTTTAGAGAGTTTGGTAGGAGCTAGCTTTGAATTGTTCAGATCACTCGTGGGGATACTAAAGTGCTAAAGTCAACGAAGCCTCCATCCACATGAGGCATTATCCTTTCATTTTGGCATTTGGGGTTCTGTTATAATGGGCAATAACAAAATACCCTAGGTCTCTGTAGGTTTCACTTTAAATTGTATGCTGCACCCAGAAGAACATATTCAGTTGTATTTACTTTCCTATTTATCCGTGTGAAATTTGTGTGAGTTTTGGCTCAGTTTGTCTGAGAAGAGAACTGTTACAAAATGCAAGTTCTAGAGTTTCTGGCAGGGGACTTTGGAAGAAGATACTGTACCACCAGCTTGCACTTGATACTGCTCTAGAGTATCTGCATTGCCTTTGTAAATCTGTCTGCAAAATACTTTTTTTTAAAGAAATGGTAATGTTTCATATTCTTTGTTAAAAATCAGCCAAGTTGTATGTGCCAATGGGTTCATGAGAACTATTTACGTCAGTGGAGGTCCTTCCATTAATTTCAGTTGGGTTTGGATCGGACTCTGTTGTTACACATTTAGTAGTGGTATAATTTAAGAGTAAATTGCAAAACGTTGCAGAACATCCTGGGAGGTTCTGGGAAGTTGTTTGGGTGTCAGAGATACTTGAGACTACTTCTGCTGTGTTGCAGGCTCATCTGGGGACACCAAGTGCATGCCGTCATTTAAATCACATACCTGTTCAAATTGCTATTTTTTTTCCTAATTTTTATTTTAATTAGTATAAAACTTTTGCCACAGCCTGTGACTGGGAGAAAAGAAAATATGTTTCTGGGATACAAGCATGTATTTGCCATCCAGTAGCTGAAGACCTGCAAGGGGATAAGAAACCGGGAAGACACCTTCCTTCTTGCCACTTTCTCCTTTTTGTGCTGAGCCACTGTATCACCGTCAGTCCCCATTCGGTACCTTGCTTCACCTAACTGGTAACACCTCTAATGCAATTATCAAGGCACTTTTTATTCCTTGCTTCCTTCCTGGCCAGGAGGAGAATGAGCGCTGAGGGAATAGTGTGGGTTGCCTCAAGCCTGAACATCACATGACGAAGCCTAGAGTGAGCCTTCTGCCACGGCAGCACCTGGCCAGTTCTCTGAACCAGCTGTGCTTTGGATCGGGGTTTTGCCTTTCCTGCTCTTTTTGCAGTGGGCAAACTGAAATATCTGCTTAATTCACAAAAACATCTTCAAAACATGAAATTAATCAAAATAGTGTAAAGAAACCCAGCCCAGTTGCATATTTTATTGATGTCCACAGCTGCCACTGTCTCAGGTGCACAACTTTGTGCATAGCTTCATAGGCAGTTAATTCCATGTCCTAAGTGATTTTTTTTTTTTTTTTTTGTACTAATAGCATGACATGCTTCCCCAGTGTGTGCCTATCCAAGCTGGTTGTTTGTCCTTGTTAGGTTTTAGGACATAATGTTAGCTTCTTGGTAAATCATCTTGGGGGTTTTTTTTGTCAGCGCTTTCATATCCTTATATTCGTTTCCAAGGACTGTCATCAAGATTGTCTTAATTGAAAAAACATTTGCTGTAACTTTAGCAGCTGTGCCGCTACAGTATAAAATCATGGTAACTGTTTGTGCTCGTTCAGTGCTAGGTTGCTGTAATGGGAAGTAAATGGTCTCTGTTAATAGGTGCTGTTCTCTCTGCTACAGTGTCTTGTCACCCATGAGCTGGAATATGAGGTGTGCTCTTCAGTGTATGAAATAAAAGGCAAAAAACACTATTGAACTCTTTTTTGACTTCTTCCTGTAACTTATTTTTCTGAATCTCTATATCTTATCTTTGAATTTCTGTCTAGTTGACCAATTGGATTTGTGATTTAATCGCCACGTTAGTGGAATAAGCTTATTTGTATAGCGCTCAGGAAGACCCTGGATGATTCACAGAAGCATGAAATAAAAAATATTTTCCCATCACTACAATGTATATTCATTAAGGGAGGTTTTCAGATGTGTACATCTCCTTCACTTTCAGAGCTTCTTTTTATGATTTACCACTTAAAATCTGTCTTTTCCGTTAGATTTTAGAACTTAATTTGGCATCTGTTGGACTCTATATTCTGCCTGTCCTTTTGCCTTGACATTTACGCTTATTAATTCCCAATATGTGTGATACATAGACATGTTTTATAAGTATTACCTGTGATCTCAGTTGATGTGTTGTCACTGGTATTCCGCTGGCAGTGTTTGACGTGCACACATGGGGCAGGTAATACTTTGGGGAGAACCAAAGGTAATGCTAAAGCTGCTTTGCTCACAGTAGCATGGAAGTGTGAGGTGTGTGCTGGTGGGTGTGTTTGCATGACTGAAGCAAGGTGTCGTGACAAGGAAATGTAAGGGTGTAGTTTCTAAAGGACAGTTATAGCACTTGGTTGCTTGCAATCTCGTCGTCTTAATACATTTTAGTAAGTGATGAGCAATGATGTAATTCAACTAGCGTATTTTAAGCTATCAAATTTATTTTGAAGGCTTCTGTTTGTTTTATGGAAACTTTGGCACCTGATTTATTGACTAAAATTTGAAGTCTTGATCTTTTAAATGGCTGCTAATCTTAGCTGCATATTTTTGCATTCATCTCAAGTGAATCTAAGTTTCTGGAAATGATTCCCCTCTCCCGGCAGTTGCTCTCTATGGAAGAAGTTCAGTCTTCCTGCAGAGGCGTTGCCTCTGGCACTCTCCGGACGACACAGCTCCGCTGTTGATGGTGCTGTTGTGGCTTTCAGCAGCTCCACAACTGTTTCCACTGTTTGAGTTTCTGATACAGAATTACAGCTGGCTAGCACCTTCTTTTCTCTGGGGAAAATTCAGAAAATGTTCTCTAGAAATTACAAGTAGCTATCTATAGATATCTTCAACTGAGCATAACGAGGGGCAGATGTTCACTTGTCTTAAGAGATTCTTCTGTTTCATTGGTGTGATGGTTTTTCAAGCCGACATAAAGATTTCAAATAGCTGAATATGTTTGAATTTGCTGGCTACACCTGACAGAAGTTAGATGCAGTTAGAGCAATACACAGTGGTGTTTAAGGTAAACAGGACTTCAAAGAGAGGTTCATGAAATCTTAAATACTGATGAGGACTTGCAGCAAAAATCTATGGATGTTGTAACTAGGGAATCAGGTCTTCAGTGTTAGCTGGAAGAGCATCCTAATACTGGTTGGGGTTTTTTCCTTCCTCTCTGACAACTCTTGAACATACCTTGCATCAATTTCTTTGACTTTTATTTTGCAGTTTATAATAAGAGAATTTGAGAGTTGGAAAAGTTACCATGGTTTGTTTGTTCTTTTTTTCTTTCTGTTTTTTTGTTAACGACTCAAAACATTCTGGTATATTAAAAAAAAAAAAACGGGGGCCAGCTGTCCCTCCTGAAGTCGTGCCATCTGTATCATCTTTCTGGCTGGGAATTCTGTCCTCTCTTTCCTGTCCAGGCAGATCCTCTGTAGAGAAAGAAATACGTCTTTGTGCCTTGGAAGCAAAACACATCAAAACGGAGGATCTGATAGAGTGTCCTTTCTGCTTCTTTAATGTCTTTGTTTCTTTTCCAAGATTCTTTATGTTTTAAGAAACAGTGATTTTTTTTTTTTTCAATTTCTTTTTTTTTTTTGAACTGGAAGTTTCCTGCTTCCCAACAGTTTCTCAGTTGAAAGCTTGAGCAATGCTTAACAGAAGACGAAGCAGAGCTGCTTCAGTTCTCCCGTTTCCAAATCAGAAGAACGTAAATTAAACTGAAAATGCAGTTTCTATTTTATATAAACATACATATCTATATGAAAAAATTGTCTAAGGATTTTGTATCATACTGCAGTGAAAATATGTTATAAATAATTTCCCTATGATTTGGTAACAATTTCGTATCTGAAAAATTTTTCTTTACATTTTCGTGTCATTTTGGTGGAAGCTTCAGAAATTCTTCCAGACTTTTCTTTTTTTACCAAGCCTACTAATCATTTTCTTATACTTTTTACTTCATCAGTAACCTCAGGTTGTTGAGGCTGCATTATCGAGGAATCTTCCCAAGACAGCACGCAGCAAAGATTTACTTACAGTGCTAAATAGGTACTAAAGTCTTCTGAAGTTTTCTTTTTTTCAGAAATAGATACAGTAGGTTTATTAATAGCTAATATATGTTTATTAAGCATCTGTATTAAGATATTAAACACTGTATTTGACTGAGGCTACTAAAGAAATGTCTGTATTCTTCTATTGATTCGTCCAAGAAAAATAATTTGTTGTACAGCTGTGAATAATCTGCATCATCAAATATGTCCCATTCCTGCCAGAAGCTGGGTGCCTTTCATTTCCTTTTGAAGCCAAAAGGGATTCAACATGTTGCAGCTCAGGCCGTGCTGAATTCTAATGTCTTGATATGTTGTAGATCATTAATATTTACTTGTGAAATGGTTTTGACCTTTAGAGCTAAGTTAAAAGGTTAACCTATGTCCATTTCCATTTAGTACATTAATTGCTCCCTTTCCTAATTGTCTGTAGGACAATAGTTTCTGATCATTTCAGAGGTAAGTCAAACTGTAGGTGATGCTTTGCATTCATAATTTTGTTGTTTGTTTTACTTACAAATAAATTCCAAATCACTGAATGTGTCTTCTTGGGTTCTGTTTAAAAGAAAAATAGTCAGTATTTCTAATATTTATTTTTTCTAAACCAATGCATGGATTCTGCCTGAAACTAGTGGGATGTGATATGCTTTATGATACACAGAGGATAAAAAAAAGTTTATGCATTTTTCGGTTACTCAAGTGTTAGTATTCTTGGCAGCTCTGAACAGGGGGAAAAAATGCCAGCATGAAATTAATAACTGGTTTTGTTTCTGTTATAGCTACACTGTACACGTCCTGCATTTTGTTGGGTATATTCCTCAACAGCAGCGTACCAATATTCTTCGAGCTCTTTGTGGAGACAGTCTACCCAGTTCCAGAAGGAATTACTTGCGGAGTTGTCACCTTTTTGAGTAATGTGTTTATGGGAGTGCTTTTGTTTTTCCTGACATTTTACCATACAGGTGAGAAATATTAGCTGCTTTGAAAACACAATTCTCCATTAAGACATACTCTTGTCAGTAAAGGGAGGATTTGCACATACAATTTCTGTTAATAATCAGTGTTTGAATCCTCCTGTGTAGCAGCAAGGGAGAAGAACTTTAATTGTTCTTGTCTATGTGCATGCTAATAAAAATGAAATGCTTTAGTGCAAGGTGCTATAGTCATATTCTACTTAGAATTTGCTGTAGCCAGAAGCCATTGAGATACACACTGATGTCATGTTTTTATAAGGGCCTGGGTAATGTGACCATTAATAATGTTTGTATCCACGGGTGTCAAAACCACAGTAAGGCTAATCCAGTCCAAGGCTAATCCAAATCAGGGTGTAACTGTGTTGCCCAGGAGGGTGGAAATGCCCCGTTTATGGTCAGCTCGGTTCAGTGGGTTGGACATACCATTGCAGCGGAGAGAGCATCTCTTGACCACTACTCAGAGATGAAATACATATTCCTTTAGATAACTCAGTGGACTAACCAGGCAAAACTGTGTTTTACTTGATATTTTCATCAACTTCTTCAGACTTTTCATCTCTTGAGTATTATTTGATTCCTCAATTCATAATTGTAACTTTCAACTTGCTATTTAGTAGACTATATTATTACTCTAAGCTGTGAAATAAAAACTCATCTTGCTTTCAAAGGGAAGTGGTCTTTATGAATGGTTTTCAAAGAGCAGATTTTTTGTTTGTATTTTGTTGTTGTAGTAAATGCTTTCATCATGATACAAGATTGATAGAGCCATGTTTTGCTTTTGCTTTGGAAACATTAGAAATTGTGAGCTTTTATCTATTATCATAAGCGCATGTACTTCTTAAGATGGTGTGTTTTATAACCAAGAGGAGACTGACAAATTTCAAAATGAATTGTGCTCAAATTTATGAAGGTTACAGCCTGGGGCAAATTTTCAGCGTGGTTTGTGTGTCTTTCTGCCAGGGAATCACAAGCAGGTCAACAGCCCCATTCCAAATCGTGGCTGTGAACAAAAACTGAGAGAATTTTTTTTTTTTAATACTGATATTGAACTACAGGATTGTAAAATCTGATTTCTGTCCCTGCTAACCTTGGGTGGCATGATATTTAGTCTTTACATTTTCAAGAATGCTTTTAGTATTATTATTGATTGGTGTGAACTCTGTTCACATATGCTATTATTTCCAACATTTATACCTGAGCTATAAAGATTACCCAAAATGTTCTGAGGATATTTTCAACGTTTTTCAGAGTAACAATCCAGTGTTCTGAATTGCTTAATAATTGAGGATGGGGATACAGTGTCACAATTCTGACTGAAGAATCATGGTGAAGTGAATTTGTTCCCTCATAAACAGGGTATTTGGGGCCATTTCTCGTCTCTAGTATTTGTTTCCCTAGCAGGTATCAGTAAATGCAGGTAAGGATAAACCTAAGATTAGTATATCCATACACTTGGAATATTTTCCCTATTTCTTCAAAGGAAAAAAAGTATTAAGAAGTAATTTGTGTCCAGGACGATCCATCGATCTGTTCTCCGTGACGCAGTATTGCAAATGATCGAAAGTACAAGCGCGTGTGCGGTCACTGGGGGAGATCGATGCCGCTGGGTGCTATTGGCTCCTTTGATAGAAAAATCCGTTAGAAGGTAGATAACGATCTTAAATATTTTTTTTTCATTTGATTCAAATCCATCCTCTAGTGGCATTTAAGAAGCTTACAGATAAACCAGAAGTTAGTCAAATTCATCTTGTTCTCTCGGTCTTGCTTTTTAGGCCAAATAATCTTCCAGTAGCTTTAATTCAGATTTCGTCTCTTTTTTCTCCTCGTACTCTGATATTGCATAGGCTGTGAAAGCCAAGCCCTGGGAACTTCCCAGTGCATTGAAGGTTTCAGTCCAGCTAGCACGGTGGAGATGTAAACCTTTCTAAAGCTCAGCCTGCCTGCTGGTGCTGTGCCCTGAGACCCAGCGCTGCGGCCCCTGCGTGCGGTTCCCTGCGCCTGTTCCGCAGCGGCTTCCCAGGGGAAACCAAAAGCAAATGGACCCTTAGCTTCGCGCGATCGATGTGCTAGCGCGCATCGCCAGTGCTGTCACAAGTTCTGAATTACAAAAGGCGTGAAGGATTCACAAGTTAAATGTGGTCTTTTAGGATATTTGGGTTAAAGTTTGTTCAATCTAATTAAGCAAGAGCATTGTTTTATAAAGAAAATAATAGCGAAGCATTTACCTGTTGACATCTGGCATCACATAATGTGGTCTTCTCCAAGCCTAGGAAAGTTTTACTAAGGTTTTGAGAAGATTACTACCTAAAAAAATCTGTAAGGGTTTCTGGTGGGTGAGGGAGGGTGAAGGTTACTGTTTTTGGAAGGTTGGTTTTTCAGGCTCTCTGACTTTTGTTCTTTGTATTGTGTAATATAAATTGTGCTTTTAGCAATATAAATTACAGATTTAAGAAAGCAAGAGTGCTGAATTCTTGATGTCAATGCAGACCTTGGGAGAGCTCAGATTCTGTAAAAATAAATAAATAGTAATAATAAAAGAAAGAAACAAAAAATAAAATAAGACCCCATTTCCAGTAAAATTAATGTTTCTTCAGTAAATTGACGGAATTACAAAAGAGGAAATTGTGGTGCAGTCTTTAAAAAAAAACCCACTAATATGAATAAAACTGCTGATTAGTAGTCAAATATCAGACGATAGGATTTCTTGAAGGCGGAACAGAGGCTTTTAAGAGCAGTACATTATGTCTAACAGCTAAAAAGAGGCTTCTGAGGCGCTGTTTGTGCAACTAGTTTTAAATTGAATTGATCGTACTATTCACAAGTTTCTTCTGAGGAATTGGTTTTCCCTCCTTATACCGCGTAGCAGGTTTGATTTGAAATCAAATCCTGCTGCTTCTTACACTTTTAATTTGTTTTAGTTTTCAACCCATAGAAATCAAAGAACTAATGAGTAGAGTCTTCAGAAGTGGTTTATAATCCATTAGCAAGGATAGATTTTTTGTTTTTCCCCCCCCCATTCTCTCCATTTACAGATTTAATAAGGAGGATTGACGTTAGCTGGAGGCATTGGTTATTTATATATATAAACTTTATCTGTACGTAAGGCATCCATGGAAAAGTCTCATAGACCATATTAACCATTTATCAATCAAGAGCTGTCAGGATTTTGTTCAGAACACAGCTTTCTTTCAAACCCGCCATCAATCAGAGTTTTGGACGCTTTAAGCACGGAGCGTGTTCAGTAACGGAGGTTGGGTCTGTTTTCTGCTTTACAGAGTTTTCCTGGTTCAACTGGTGCCTGCCAGGATCGTGTCTGCTGAGCCTGCTCCTCATCCTCTGCTTCCGCGAGTCCTACGACAGACTCTATCTCGACGTCGTCGTCTCTGTGTGATAACGCCGGACTGGTGAGGGGTTGGAAGAGACTGGAAGTCAGCTTTGCAGTCTGCACGTCTGCCTGGATTTGCACGGCTGAACAGCAGAAAAACAAAGGAATTACAAAACTTAATCGTGGCTTTATTAGAGAGGGTGAGGGACAGGCTCTTCTTACATTCAAGATCACCTTGATTTGCGATGGACATGGAACTGGAGTGGTGATAACGATGCCGAAATACACAAAGAGGAATATATCTGATGTACAGGTCCCGGTGTCGGAGCTGGGGCTCTCTGTTTAAGAGATGTAGCAGTGAGGTGTACAGTTGTGTGCGCGTGTGTGTGTATGTGTGTGGGTGTGTGCTGACTCAAGGTTGTAGACACCGGGGTACCAGTAATCTTCAAGGTCTTCTATCAGAATAGAAATAGTGAAGAATCTTAACAAAAGGAAAAAAAAAGATAAAAGGAAAAAAAATACCTTTTTTTAAAGATCTCTCTTTTAAATCACTCGTCATTTATATAATGAATGTCCATTAAACAGTTAAGCTAAAACGATTTGGTGCTTGTACACTACATTTGCATTCTAATAAAGTGGTTTCTGATACAAGACGCTGGTACCAGGGGTTCTAGCCTTACTAAATATCCCAAACAATCCTTGCAGTGTTGTTGGAGGTGTTTGCTACCACCCTGGAGCACGTGTAAACGGTAGCTTTAGCTGCCACTGAAACCTGACTTGCACCTGTGGTTGCCTCTGAAATACCACCATGGTTCTGTATCTCCAGGACGCGGAGCGTCTGTGGTATCTCAGGGGTTTACTGGAGCATCACTCACGATAAATGTTGCTGTTTTAAAGGCCACCACCGTGTCACCTTTTCATCCTCTGTCTTCAGTACTGCCTTTTTTACTGTGAAGACCTGTTTGTGCCACTGAATGCTGTGGGTGTGGATGTCCAAGTCCCACTGTTCTGATACTCCAAGGTGCACGTGGTTTTAGGATTATGTTATGATTGAGGGTGCCTAAATAATACTGTTTGTTAACCCAAGTCTATAAAATCACTGTTTCGTAAAAAAAAATCTTTCTAGTTGGTGAGGTGCCCTGATGGCGAAATGACAATGGAATTGACAGTGAGAAATAACTCATGAGTTTTGGCATGATATGAGAAATACAATGCCAGCTCTTTTTATCAGTACTAGTCTGTGGTCATTCTGGCCCTTACTTGAACATAAATATTAAAGACACTTTGAATAGTTTTTTAACTCAATTTTAAACCTGCTAATAATTTCTTAATTATATTCTTAGATTTCAGTTCAGCATAATTTACAGTGTTTCCATGTGTGTGTTCTGTGCTTTGCGTTAGGGGGGTGTGTTTGTGCGTGTGTGTGCGCGTGCGTATTTATATCTATGTATACACAAATAAAACTTACATATATATCTTTTACATATAAGTTATGTAAGGGTATGTGTTTACATAGATTTATTTTAAGTACTCATGTCTCTGGATGGTGGTATGCCACTGTTTGTAACTAAACCTGTCGCTGCCGTGAATGGAAACACATGCATACACTGCCTGCAACGTGAATTTTTTCAGGGGGTGAATGATTTCCTACCGTAGCGATTTTATCACGGGGGGTGCGTTCACGTGCTGGAGGAGCCTGGGGTGCAGAAGTGTGAACCAGACGCCCCTTGCTCCCGTGTGGGGCCCTTCTCTGCCAGCCCGGGGTGACACTGCCACCGTAAGCTCACCCCGATAAGCCCTGAGCAGAGCCCTGCCTCTCAGGCGTGGGCCCGTTCCTTCGGTCTGCTCTCCTCTTGTGGAGAGAACGTGCCGCCAGTACCTTCAACTCAGGAGTGTGTCTGTGCAGTAAAATAAAACAAGCTGTTCCCTGCTTTTATGTTTCTGGAGCAATGGATGTATTTACGGTAGCAACAGAAAATTGACTTAGCTCATTGCCTATATCAGCTACTAAATGATCTTTTCTGTCTCGAAGCAGGCTCTTTGTAGAAATGGAGCTAACCTACACTGGGATGACTAAATCAATCTGACCAGTGCATTCAGAACTGCTGGCATCGTCCTCTTACCATTTTTCAGATGAATGGTATTAACTGTCCAACTTATTTTTACTATGTTTTAGTGCCTGGAATAGTTTCAGCATCCAGTAGCTGCTGCTACCTATTGTCTTCTGAAGCTGAGGATCGCTTGCCAAGAACCTGATTGGAGTCGCATTGTCATGGCAGAACCGCAAGCTCAGATGGCTCTTCGGAGCTCTGCTTCTGCAATTTACTGTAGCTGTATTGGGATTAAAATTGCACAGTTCAGGCACTGTCCCGGGTGACAGAGATTTCTAATTCTTTTGCTGTCCTGACTATTTTAAGATGGAGAAGCACTTCAGGCAGTGTTCAGACTATAACCTCTTCTGCCTCTGTTCCAGAAAGCATCAAGCAATTCAAAATATTTGTCAGTGCTGCCAGATGCAGACTCTGTACAGTCGGGGGAGAAGAGTGAACATCTTGTTTTAAACCCTGTTGATTATTTTTCTGCGTCAGTGTGAATTACTCGCTGCTCTCCTGAACTTTGATGCTTTGGTAGAAGTTTCTCTGTCTGTCTTGGGCACTGTAGCGTGTGGTCTTAATTACAGCCCTTGATTCCAAAACAGAGGCATTATCCAGAGCTGAGCGGCGCGGCAGGGCTCTGCTGGAGACCTGTGCTGGGGCTGCGGGCGCTGTTCCGCAGTCGGGGCTCCATCAGAATTCCCAGCAAGTCTGATGGAAATCTGCCTGAGTGGAAACCAAAGGATTGCTCCCAAATTACTTGAAGTTGTGCGGGACGCTGCTGCATCCCACAAATACAATGTTCTGGCTTTAGGATTTTATTAGACTAGCAAGTCTGGCTCGGGACGGAGGTGGGGGTTGCAAACGGGCTTGCTGAGATCGCTGAAAAATGTTTTATCATCATCTGTGCCCAGCAGCAGCATCCTTCTCTGGAGGAGCAGTCCATTTTGTGCCAGTCACCCAGCTGAACCTGCGGGAATATTCTGACTGAAGAGTGTGGGAATGTTTTTTGGGTGTGGGCCATCACTGGGTTCACCTTTGTTTGGATTTACTGAGGGCCCGAGCTGTCGGGATAACCGCGCGTCGTCGGAAGTCAGGGTTTGAGCTGCAGGGAGAGCCCTCAGCAGTGCTAATACAATTAGCGATAGCGCAGAACAGGTTCAGAACAGGAAATATTTCTCTTACTGATTAGTAAAAGTTCTAAGTCTTTCTGTAACTTTTGAGTCAGTAACAACGGGGATTTTATCTGAGTGAGGCATTGCCTTGCACGGCCGCAGAGTGGCCGACGATGGCTGCTGCTCGGCCCTTGACTTCCCGGCAGTGGAGGGTGCTCTGGAAAGTTGGAACGTTTGCTTCTCTTCACGGCCCCGAAGAACATTTTTTTTCCCAGTGGTGCAGAGCACCCCCCCAAAATACTAATAATTGTGCTATGTTTTATATTGAAAATTCTAGGAAGGATGCTCTGTAGTGGCCGCACTCTCTCTAACACTTCCTCACGTTAGGTATGGGCGGCTCCTCAGGTTCCTGCTTGGCTCGGCAACAGCTCTGGGTTCAGCGGGCGGGGCCGCCGGGGGTCTTCTCGCGAGCTGCAGAGCTGCGCTAGCTCTGGTGCTGCTGGTGAGGACACTCAGGGCTGGTAGGCGTAGGCTCCGCTTACGGCACTTCACTGTCTCTCATCACTGCCGTTGCCCATCAATTCCCTTCTGATTCCGTTGCCTTCCCGCGGGGTCTGTGCTGGAGGTACAGAGAAGAGCTTCCGTACTCCCAAGCCAGTTCCAGAGGGACAGGTTGGCCAACCATCTACTTAATATGCATAAAAATCATGATTTTTAGAAAATCGTGCAAGCTGGGAGAAGGTGCAGACCCAGAGGATTTTGCATGTGTGTGAGCAGGTAGTCTGTTACACGCAGACTGCAGCTTGCCGGAAACTTCAGGTTTTAGCTCCCACTCGTAGAGAGGCCAGGCTGAGAGACAGCGTGCGTGTTGCTGACTCACGTTCACCGCGTCGCCGAGTTGTTCCCAGCCATCTGACAGAGCCGAAATGAGTGGGAGTGGGACGTCTTGCATCTTGGAGTGGGCTGGAAAACCCCAGGCTGCGTCAGCGTTTGCATCGGTAACTGGGGAGCACCAGGCTGGTGGGTTGAGTGAGAGGAGGGGGGGCTTCCAGAGGGCGTTTCAGCACTGAAATGTTGTGTGGAGTTTGTGGAATCCGTACGAAATGTGAAGTTTTGTGGTGGCAGGGATGCTAATGCCTGGCTTGTTCTGCAGTAACCCTAGCAAGTGGCGGCGTAGCCTTACACTGTCGTATGACGAGCTGAGCTGGTTGCTGGGCGTATATTGGCTGGCAGGGAGAGGGGGGTGCTGCTTGGTGGTGAGGACTGGCTGAAATGGGAGTGGGAATTACGAACTGTCCTGTGAGGCTGTGACGGCAGGGTTTTAATTTTTTGTCTTCATTTCTTCTGTTGGGCCACTTGCAAATAATAATAATTATCTGTGACAAAAGCGCTTTTATGTGTCATTAGTTTTTGGGGGGTTTTCGTTTGGACGAAGTTTGGATCACTGAAATAACTTAGCAAGACAACTGCTGTGTTTGTATGAAAACGTGCGTTAGTTTGAGGTATCGATTTGGTGTTTGATGTTGGCGCTCGGCATCACGTCATGTGGGAGCGCAGCAGCGCTCAGGGGTGCGCAGTCGCACAAGGCTGATCCTGCCAAAAGGAACAGGAACTTCATCCTCAGCCTCCATGGGTCCGGGTGTGGGTCCCAGCGTGGGGGCTGGGAGGAGGACGGGAGCAGTGTAGGGAGGAGAAGCCTCGCCGGGGCTGTTGCCTCCGTGCTGAGGGGCAGAGAGCCTCCAGGCTTGCTGCTGTGGCTGTGAGGGATCCCAGGTATCAGTGCAGGCTTCATCCATTTCCCCACGTTTTGCAGCTGCGAGCTGGGTTGCAGGGGGCACGGGGACATCTGCCTTGCTTC